AAAGTACAATTCTCCAGGTAGTTCGAGGGACCCCCAGGAAAGTTCCAACCTGGAGTATCACTGCCTCGTCATCTGCCAATGGGGAGCTCATGGCTTCCCTTGTTGGGGACAGCTCTCCCTGCTACTAAGCTGAGGACTCTGTTTCTGGCAATAAGTAGACCTGATGCCACGAAAAGCCTCTCCCTACAAGTTCCCCAACAGGCTTGCTGAGATGGAGCAAACATCCTTCTGTGGGCACCACTGAGCTCACCTGGCAGGGAGGGAGTCCCCACGGGCCAAGAATGGAGCAAAGCAGACTGCACGCTGGTTTTGACGTACAGGTGGTCCTGGGAGTTTGGCCCCCGAGGAACCACAGTGTGGACTTTATTGGCCCCCAAGAAGAAGAGGCAGGGCCTGGAACCAGCACGAGGCAAGAATCCGTAACTGAGACTCCCCATATAAAACTGGGCCCCTAGAAAGGCTAAACCAATAGTAGCCCCAAATCAAACAAAGCAAACCCATGCATTGGCTATGGGGAAAAAAAAAAGGAAATTCACTGGTCTTAGTCTAGTGTTTTGGAGATCAGTAAAAAGTTTCCTTTGATATATGTGGCTTAGGCTCGTTCTCACAAGAAGTTGGGTTTGTATTTACAGTACATGGTTGTCCGGAAAATCTATAGCTATAAACCAACACCACACATGCTCTAGATCGGTTCACTGGGTCACCCTCTACAAGCAAAGGGGCAACTTCTCCAGAGAAGCCTGGTCCCCTCAATCAGGGCACACAGGAACCCCACAGATAAAAACCTCCATCACAACCTGAGCTTACAAACCCACAAGAAAACAAGCCACCATGAGCAAGAGTCAGGAGAAGCCACAGTGAACAGAGTTAGACTCACCAAGAACTGCAGATGATGAAGCTATAGAATAGAGACAATGAAATAAGTAGTTCAAATGACCTAAAAATTCAAAGTTGTAATGTAAAATATGAGGAAGATACAAGATGCTAAGATCAAGCAGATTAACCCTCCACACAAGTACATACAGAAATGAAAAAAATACATGGTAACTGAAATTAAAATCTCAGTGGATGGAGTAACCAGTGGATTAGACACATCTGAAGAGTTAGTAAAGCAGAAAGAAGTTACCAAGGATGCAGCACAGGGAGACAGAGATGGAAAATACTAGCGCCAGCCAAGGAGGGCAGCACGAGACGGTCAAGTCAAAGCTTCTAGGAGAGGTTAGAGTGCTTAGGGGAGGCAATATTTTTAATATTCTATGACATGATGGTGCTGATTTTCCACACTTGATGAAAGACACAAACCCTCAGATTCTGGAATCACAACAAATTGCAGGCAAGATAAATAAAAACAATCCACCACCTTGATTCACTGTCGTGAAACTATAGAATACCAAAGTCAAAGAGAAGCTGTTCAGAGTCACCAGATGGGGAAGGATCACCTACCTACCTGTCAGTTAGCTCGACAATGCACAGAAGCCAGGAGACCGTGGAATATCTCCCGAGTGTTCAGAGAAAATACATATCTCAACCTATAACCTTTTCCCCAACCAAACCATCATCCAAGAGCAAAGGCAAAATCCACACATTTCAGACAAACAAATACTGAGTTGCCCATCAACAGACCTTCACAGAAGGAAGCAAAGGCTTCAGGAAGAAGGAAATTAAATCCAAATTGTGAAAACTGGCAAATCTGTTGGTAAATACAAGCAAGTCTCAACTGTATACAACAATAACAAGAAGTGACTAATTCAGAGGATTGTTGAAAAAGGTGAAACTCAAACACAGGACAGCAACGGGCTGTGAAATGGGAGGGGTGACGGGTTTAGAGTGCACCGGGCCCCCGTGAGGTTCAGGGGCCATGGATCAACTGCAGACGGCAATTGGTGGAGCCTTCAGGAGAGAATCCTGCGGGAGCTACCAAAACCGCAGAATCAGCACGCACAGCCTTGAAAGGAGAAAGCGAAAAGGCAAGGATGGGCGAGTTGGGCTGAACACACAGAGCAAGCTGCAGGAGGCTGCTGCAGGCACTCAGGGAATGGGCTCGTGAGGGCTCGAGTGGGCATTGAGGCTGTTTCACAACATGTCACAAGAGCTCGCACATATGAGTGGGAGCGACAAACCCCCAGTGCAGACCGGGCCTCTGTGCGTTGGACGCATGTTCCTCTAGCACGTGGGACACGTGGGCTTTCAGCACATCATTCTCTGAATTGCATTATTTCTCTGAAATGTTTTGTGATGAAAGTAAATGGCCTCTCTCTTTACCCAGTGGCCTAACCATCTCAAACCCCACTCTGCCCTCCATTGTTGCACCTGGGTCTCCGAGTCCCCAGATCCCATCTCCCACAGGTTTCTGGTTCCTCTTCCTCTCCTCGGTCCCAGTGTGACAATATCACTTCAGGCTCTGGATTGGCCTGCCACTGTGTCCTGTGTGTGGTCCCTGACCTGGGTCCTGCCTGCTGCCCCGTCTGTCCTCTGCCAGGAGAGCCATGTAGCTGGCCCACGGACACTCCTGTCTGTAGACTTCTGAGATCTGGCCCGTCCAACACCTGTGGGCTCCTGGTCACTCTCATGCCTGAGGCCTCCAGTCAGGAGCCAGGGTAACCCAAACAGCAACATGTGTGCCAGGAGCCCATGTGGGCCTCTCTGTGAGGCAGGCCAGGTCAGCCCCCACTTTACAGATGAGGCTGCCTGGCCACTATGCAGAGACGTGCAGAGAGCAGCTGTCCCCCTCTGCGCCTCTGTCCAAGCCGCTCCGCTGCTCACGCCCTTCCTCTCCCTCCCCAGCAGCTCTACTCAGCCCTAATGTCACCTCCTCCAAGAAGCCTTCCCAGGCCTAACCAGGCCGAGCCAGGTGCACATCCCTCAGAGGCCCACACTCCTTGCCCCCTTGCTGCCTCACCCATCTTCCTCCTGGGATGGTGAGGAGCCCCCGCCACTCCTTGGGGCCTCACCCAGGCCCGCACAGAGCATACCCTGATGAATAGTCACTGGTGAGCCAGGACAGTGTGAGCAACTGAAGGACCGGGACTTGCAAGAGGATAGAAACTGTGGAGGGGCGGGGACTCCTGCCGCCTATGCCATCCGTTACCATGAGCAAGTCCTCTAGCTGTCAGTTACGACATTTTCCTTGAAGACAGGGATCCACCCAGGAATTACAGTGGCTAACACGTGCTCTGGAACCCGTGAATGAGAGTGGGCAGCTCTACCTCGGACACTGCGCCTGAGGGTCACAAGACAGAAGCCCAGAGACACTGTAAGCCTGAGACACAGAGAGAAATCCCCGAGGCTGGGGAGAGGGGGGCAGTGGGCGTTGTGTATGGGATACATTGTTGTGGGCAGGCAGGTATTTCCATGGGAGGCAGGCAGGCACTGTGGACAGGCACTATGCACTGGGATGGAGATGACTTCTGCCTAATAGGCCCCATTCACGCCCTCAGAAAGTGCACCCAGCGAGGTTCAGGTTCGAGGCCTGGGTCTGGCCTGGCGGTGGAATTCAGCATGGCTGCTCACGCCCCACCACATGGGAACCGGGGCTGCCGTCCTTTCCCAGTGATGGCATCTGCCCTGGGATTAGCACCCTGTCTCCCCACACCAGGGCTCTTGAGAGCCTCTGGGCGAGGAGGACTCAGGAGTATCAGGTAACCCACGGGGCGGGGGCCACTCTGAATCCCAGGGGCCAGGACAACAGCTCAGGCTCCAGAAATCCAGTGGCTCTGGGCTGGGCTGACTTATCGAGTTGGCAGGAAAGAAAAAACTCCTCCGTGCGGGAGCATTCCACAAAAGGCGCCTGACTTTCCCTGCACTTGTACCTCATTAACATTCCGCAGACATCACTAAGTACTTAATAACACCAAACAGGCTGAATGGACGGCATCGTTTGGGGCTGCTCCGTATTCAGCAAACAGCAAATGATGCTTCTCTCCACTCCGACCTGCCCATTAGCATTTGCAGAAAGCCCCCATTTGCATTGCGACAATGGTCTGGCCCTGAATCCGGAGTTGCGGGGGCACCGGGCATTTGTTGGCACAATTGTCCTTTGTGCCCACGCCAGTGGGCAGGCGGGGAGCACGTCTCAGGGGCTCACCAGTGACGTGGCCGGGCCAGAGCCAAACCCAATGCTATGTGATGAGGCCATGGGTAGCCCAGCGCCCAGCAGGGTGAGTGCTTGGGCTCGGTCCTGCCCACCCAACTCCCAAGGAAGATGTCCACTGACAGCCCCAAGGAGCAGGGAGCGGCCGCGACCCCGCTCCAGAACACTTTCCCCCCTTCTGCCAGGGGACAGTGACCAGATGCAGGAGGACATATCGTGGGTCAGCCGCCTACAAACCAAGCACTTCGCGGGCCAGGCGCCAGACGCCCATGAGCACAAAGGGTCAGGAACAATATGAACTTGTCACCCTCTGCCGTGCTTAAGACAGTAACACTATCCTCACAACTACCAATAAGCTGGAATGTTCTGGTGGGTGCTGAAACGTTCTGGTGGCTACCGGGAAGAGATCCAAAAGGGGAGGGATGCACACAGAAAAAACAGAAGAGCAAAGGCACAGAGCGTCAAGGAAGGGGACAGCTGTGGGCACACACAGTGCTGGCTCTGGACCCCCTGCCCCACTCCACAGGGAATAGGGGGTCAGCATGTGTGTCTGCCTCCTCTCTACCAGACTCAGGGCACCAGCCACACAGCATGACTGAGGCAGGGCCTGGCTGCCAGCAGCCCAGAGTCCAGAACAGAACAGGAGGGGACCCTCCAGGGTGGGGTCAGGCCTCCTGGAGGGACATGCCATGGGTGGAAGGAGTGGTAGGACTTGGACAGGCAGACACTAGGTCAGCAGGAGCCAATGCAAGGCCTTGGAACACCTGACATCCATCAGACCATAGCAAGTGGTCTGGAGGAGGAGTGGTGGGCATCCTTGAAACCCCAAAGGCCCTGGCCAGCCCTAGTGGCTTGGAGCTGAGGGTCCAGGCCCTGTCCACACCCCTCATCCTGTGTGAAGGCTTCTCACCAGAATTGTCACAGCTCTCCACCAAGAAATGGTCTGGCCTCCGCTCCTCTGAGACAAGGTCACATGTGATGTGAGGGACGGCGAGTGTCTTCTCTCCGGGACTCACTCCATTGTCCCTGTCCAGTTTGAACTTTTTTTTCTTTACCTAGAAAACCAGACAATAAATTGCCGGTTCCTGGGCATCCTGTGCCAGGCCCTCCGCCAGCCCCAGAACACCCATAGCAGCACTGGCTGGGGCCCTGGTCCAGCACCCTCACACACAGACGGGACGGGCAGTGGCTCGTGGTGCTACCGGGGTTCCCGTGGGGCTCAGCCCAGTTGCTGTGCTGGGAGCTCATGGCCGAGGGGGGCATGTGGTGGGAAACTGGCAAAGAGATAAATATACAAGAACACAGCAGGGCAGGTGGTGACAAAGGCCAGCAGGGGGTTCGAGTGTGTGATGGGGGGGATTAACTGAAGGCCAGCAAAGGCCTCTTTGAGGAGATGACCTGGAGGAGGGGAGGGAGCAGGCCATGTGGGAATCTGGGAGAATATTCCAGCAGAGGGAACAGTGGGTGCAGAGCCCCAGAGGCAGCCGGTAACTGGGAAAGCAGGCTGTCGGGGAGGCCAGGAGGGAGAAGCTGCCAGGCTGACTTCACCCTTCATTCGCTACTCCAGTCAAATCCCGAGACTCTTGCCTAAAGCCTGCCTGAACTCCCCCACACTGTGCCCTCAAGACCCTCTTCCTCCAGCCGGGACGCTACCTCTGTCCCCCACCGCCTGCCATACCCAGCACGGACGGCCCGACATCCAGGCCCTCTCAAGAGCCTTCTCTCCGGCAGCTGGCAGGAATCTAGCCCATCCCATTCCTGGGGCACCTCCTCTGGACCTCCTACAGGCCTCAGAGCAGCCAGTCTCACACGCCCCAGAGCCTGGGGACACTGGGGTGGTGGGGGCCCAGCATGGGGTGTACACCCCCAGTGCCCAGAATGGTGCTGACATCCAATGTGGGCTACACTGAGCTGAGATGCCAGAGTCAAGTCTTGGCCAGGAGCTGTGGCCCCCATGATCTCCCCACCCGCTAACGAGTGGCCCCCATTCTTGTGGCAGGTGGGGGCTGGTTACCATGACAGACTTCTTGGGCTTGGGGCTGGGGGAGAGCAGAACATGGCTCCGGGAGGGCTTCCGCACATAGATCTTCCAGGTGGAGGAGTCGGGGTTCTCAGCCGCGTAGCACCTCCACGCCGTCTGAAACCAGCAGAAGGGAGAGGCTGTCACCCACCGAGCACCCGACGGGGCCTCATACAGAAGCTGCAGCCCACCTATCCTACCCTGTGCACCCCCCTCCTGGCAGGACAGCAGGGCATCCTGTGTGCCAGCCCTGCCTCCCGCCAGGCTCAGGGCCTGGTCCCTCACCTCCCAGAGCCTTTTCACCCCCCAGACAGCCTGGCTCAGCCCCTTCCTGTGTCAGGCAGCTCATGGCCTCATGCACTGACTGTTACTCGCAGCTCAGACAGCAGAGGCCTTCCCCTGGGAACCCCAATCCATCAGCCACCACCTCCACCCACCAGTCCCTCCTGCAGTCCAGCCCCACATCAGGCCCTGGAGATGCCCAGTCGGCTGCCTCTCCTCTGGGCATACACGGCTAGTACAGGGACAGGCGCAGAACCGGACAGTAGGAGTCCATCCAGTGAGGATGCGCTGCAGAACAGAGGTCACCTGGAGCCTGGGGGGAAGGGGGGGCACCAGGCAGAATGTGGAGGAGCAGGGCCCCCGGAGCTGGTGGGAGGTGAGACTGAGTGGCTAGGAAGCAAAGCCCCTCGCAGAGACACCAGTGCAGGGCCCAGGGGCCCCAGGGCCATCCTACAGCTGGGGGGAGCCTCCAGACGGCACATGGGTGAAGGTCTTAAGCCTCCATTCAAGAGGTAACCACCACACAGGGGATGACCCGGAGGAGGAGAAGCCATTGGCAGGGGACCTGAGGGGAGGCCGTGCCACGTCTGGGTGGGCAGGGGTGGGACAGAAGGGGGTGCCAGGAGCCTTGTATGAGGACGCATCCTGGGGGTCTTGTCACAGCCTGCTTGCCATGGGAGCCTGAGAGGGAGGAGGTGGGGACCGTGTTGGCACGCTGGCAGGGTTTCTGGGGGCAGTGACATGATCCCTGTGATGGGAACCCAGGCAGACATGGTGGCTGGTGGGGGGCACACGCAGCCCTCACACCCACCCAGGACAATCAGGGAAAGGCCACAGGCCCGGCCACCACATCCACGACAAGCCACCGCCAGATCCCACCGTCCCAAGCAGCCTGCGCATGTCCTGCCCCCAAACACAACATCGTCCAGCTGCCTCGTGCTTCCTGCCTTGGTTCATTGAACGTGCCCTTCCCTGGGCCCCAGCTCCAGTCTTCCTGTGGTGGGCGTGTCTGCACCCCTGAACTCGCCAATAGACCTGCCTTCTAAGGGATGCTCATTCTCGAGGTGTGTGATTCCTGGGAGCAGCACAGGGCTCCGCAGGACAGCCATCCATGCTCCCCTCCTGCAGGCGGCTGCCCATGGCAGGCTGGGCTGGTTTTACGGGCCTGATTTATGGTCTCCCCGAAAGGAGAAACTGTGGGGTCATAAAACTGGGCCTGAGGCTGCCCTCGGCTTTATGGCCACTTTTATTTCCTTCCCGTCCAGGTATAATGTCCAGGCCCCAGACGGTGGGTTCCGGAAGGGCTTCAGAGGAGCGAGGTGGAGACCCTGGCTGAGCCCCGGCTCCTAGGCTGAATAACGGATAGCTGCCTACCCCTCACTGGGGCCCTGCCCGAGGCATAGTGGTCAGGAGGCTGAGGCCCAAGGGCATGACCCGAGACTATCTTTGGGGGGCATTCAGCTCTGGGTGTGCAGAGGGGTCCACACGTGTACTGCAGCTGCCCCACTGGGAGAGGGGCGCACATCCACAGCCCGACACATGACGAAACCCATGCTGCAGACCCCCATTCCTGGCCACTCAGGCAGGCCCTGGGACCACTCGGCCCCCACAGAGGCCAGTGACCAAGACTCTCAGGGACATCATTTTCAAGTGGGTCTTGGCCCTAAGTCTTTGTTCGCATTAAAAGGGTGGCCCGGTTCTCTGGTGTGTTCTGGGGTCACAGACCAGAGCCAAGTGTCTGGGGGCTTGGGGCCACCTGCCTCCTTGCCCACCTCCAGAATCTTCCTCTCCCCACTGCTCTCAGGATCTGCCGCCTCTGGTCCCCCAGCCTCAGAGCCTCTGGGACAGTGTCCTTACAGCAACTTTGGGCTGAGGGGAGTGAGAAGCCGACCTGCCTGGTTCCATACCAGGCAATGAGGGGCCTCAGGGCAGGCGCAGCCCCTTCCCCACCACTGAAGGCCTGGCACTCTGAGCCACAGGCCCTGTGTGGGGCAGCTGCTGGGCCTCTGAGAGCTAAGCTGGCACTGTGAATGCAGTGCATGGCCTGCGCTGCTGGATCGCTGGTCCTCACCTCCCATCACCCGGGAACACTGAGCTCCATGCGTGCTGGGAGTGGCCCAGAAGGCATGGAGGCTGCACAGGCAGGGCCCTGAGCCCTGTGGGGGATGGCCCCCTGGGGACCCCTTACTCCTCCCGTCCAGACTCGCCTGCATGCAGAGCAGGGGTGGCAGAAAGAGGGAGAAGAGGAGGGAGAGGAGTGACACCAAGGCCGGCCTCTGTGGCCAAGAAGTGAGGGGCCCACAGAACCGGCCATGTCGAATCCAGGACTGGCCAAGCCACCTCCTTGTCCCCCAGCTCAGCCTGCTGAACGTGACCCTCTGTGGGAGCCACGGTAGAGGGAGACAAGCTCCCCCAACTCCTGGGCCCACCCTGTCAGCATCACTGGATGGTTCCCAGGAGCAGAAGTTACGACAGGCGAGCACGTCTGTGCTGCAGACGTGGTTCTTCCACGTTCTGGAGGGATCCACAGCCACAGGGTCTCGGGAGCTTCACAGGCCGGTCAACTCAGGGCTGAGAGTGGTTCCCAATTCCCAGAATGGACGCTAGCTTGTATTTACGCAGATGGACATGAGGCTGACACAATGACGACAAGGAGAGGGCAGTGACAAGGCTGCCTCGGTGGGGGCCCTCACCTGAATGAGCGACGCTGCTGCCGGGATCTGCCGGTTGAAGTGCTTCTGCCTCTGCTTCTGCTGCACCTTCAGGGCGAACCCAGAGCCGAGGATCCCCTGGGAAGGGACAGAAACCAGGGCTTGTGTCCACACAGTGGCCACCAGATGGGCCCAAGCATGCAGGATGCGGGAGCTGGGGAGACATGGTGGACACGGGGTCGCTAGCTTGGGGAGGCCAGGCCTGCTCAGCCCTGCAGGCCCCACAAATGAGGCTGGCACCTCTGGCCCAGCCTGCCCAGGCAGAGGGTAACCCCCATCTGAGGAGGACTACTGCTGCCACCCCAGGGTTGCCAACGGGATGGAGAGGACTAGCTCATCAGGGAGGGAGCTCCCTGTCCACAGAGGTGATCAAGTCCTACACTTGCACATGCATGTGCATACACACACACATACTACACTACAGGTATGTGACGTGTGTACACATACACCACACACATATACTGTATACATACAACACATGCACATACACATAGACTCACATGCCACACGTATTATACTGTACACAGAGAACACATGTACCCATACATGATCTATACACACACACATAAGCAAATGCATGCTCTAGTATACCTGTGTGACACATACACATATAAACACATACACACATCCTAACACACATGCACATGCAATGTGTACACATATACACACGTGGTCTATAACACACACACACATAGTATGCACATGCATATACCACACGTATACACACATAACACACACACCTACCTACACACATAGTGAACTAGAAGATTTTAACCCTCACGGTCTATGATTTCCGGAAAGGACATGGATCGAAGCCCCTCCTAGGCCACAGTGCAGGACTGCTCCCTCCCTCCCAGGCACACGGACTCCACCTCTGTGGTCACACAGCAGCCACACTGGCACCTCACCCCTTCCCCTCAGGGGCCGACTAAGCCGGCCTGCACCCCACTGTCTGCCACTAACGGCCTGGCGATCACCATCAGACCGTCCTAGGCCACCTCCTGCACTCGCTACAAAGGACCCCACTGGGGGTGGGGAACAGGAAGGCAGATGGCTTCCAGGGGCCTGTAGCAGGTGAGCTGGGCTCTGAATGTGCCGCCCCTGTGATGAATCTGCTCACGGGGAGACCCCCAGCCAGGCCCAAAGCCTGGAAGAGGCTGGTGAGCGGCAGAGACGCCCCCCAACGTGGAGCACCTACCGCCGGGAGCGCGAAGAAGGAGATAGCGAAGACGGAGAAGCAGGAGGCAATAGTCTTCCCGACCCATGTCTGGGGCACCTTGTCCCCATAGCCGATGGTGGTGACAGTGACCTGCAAGGAGGGACAGCAGTCAGCAGTCAAGGCCCCAGAAAATCAGGACAAGCATCTGTCCAGCCTGAACCCACTGCCACCCAAGACCTGCCACCTTGTGAATGGAGGCCAGGGAGAGACCTCATCACCAAGATGGCCATGTGGCTCAGCCAAAGGACCAGTGCCAGAGCAGCCAGATGGTTTGGGCCTCCCAAACTTAACACTGTAAAGGAAGCAAGTCCACCGGGGTGTGCACAGGAGCTCAGTGCCGATGGAAGGCCAGGGCCTGCCAGCCAGACACGCCAGCCAGGCGTGGCCTACCTGCTCCACACACCTGCCCCATCCCTGAGGAGGTCCGCCACCCGGGCCACCAACATCGCTGCGCACTGCCCCCAGAAGGCCGGAAACTCCCACCGAGGCTGGTCCTTGACAAAATGCTAGGATGGGAATGACACGCCACTTCCTGACGCCCCCCCAGGCACCAGATGTTTCATTTGTCCTTTTTCCAAGAGAACCAGACGCAGTTCAATCCTTTTTCTCAGTGGGGGGCTGTCCATCCGGGGTGTGTGGTGGGACAAGGAGAGTGAGGGGCTGCTCCTACCCCACCCCCATGCCCACCCCAGGCTTGCCTCCTACTGCCATCTGAGGTTTGCTCTCTGGGGGCTCTGGTGGGAGCCTGACAATGACACTCTGCAGGGACTCGAGAGCCCACCCGACCGTGCCAGCCGCTTGGCCCGGGCCCATGCCTGCCCATGCCCCGGAGTCTGGGCTGTGGGGCTGCCTGCTGGGTGTCCAAGGAGCCAGCTCTGAGCCTGGCAAGGGGACCTAGGGTGCCCCCAAGTCACAGCTCGTCCTGTCGGCACACGCACTCATACCCACATGCCAGGGCAGCAGGCATGGTGGCCCAGAGTGTTCCTGTGGCTCCCTACCTGTGAGTAGTCAGCTTGGCTGCCACCTGCTTGCCCCAGGGTCTTGCCAGCCCAGCTTCTCCTCTCTGAGGCCTCCAGTCCAGGCCAAGTAAAAATCACCTCTGGCAGGCCTGGGAAGGTTTACACGGAGCCTCCATTCCGTCCCCTGCCCCATGAGGCTGGTGCAGGGAGTTGGGAACGTGAAGACAGGGCCTGGGGAGGCCCATTTAACAGACTGACTAAAGACAAGGCCCAGACAGAAAGCGGTGAGTTCTACAGTGCTGACCACTGGCTCACTCCGTGCCCCCCAAACTCTCCACCAGCCACTGAGGAGGGACGGACAGAGTGGAGAGGCCCAGTGGCCACAGCTGGGCAGGGACGCAGACGTGTGCACGTGGACAGAGACAGACACACACCACCGCTCAGAATTGCTGTAGCCGAGGCGAGAGCCAGCGGGAAACAGGAGCAGGAAGGAGCCTGGGCGGCAGAAAGTACTGTAATGCAGGAGACTGAGTTACACCACAGAGCAAGTCAACTCGTGGGAGGTACAGCCACCTAGTTCAGCTTCTGTGACTGAGGACGTTACAGACCAGCCACTGCTGAGCCCGCCCTGCCGGACCGTGCGTCTATTTATGATCCCGGCACTTCGGAGAGCCATCTCCCACAGCTGCACACACGGAGCATTTCCCTGCCACGTCAGCGTCCCTCAAACACACGTCCCACACACAGAAGCCGAGTGCACTGAGCCTCCTACTGCCGGGCACTTTAAACGGACCACCCGAGCCTGTGCACATGAGTGCACACTCACAAACGTGCCTCACACACGCACGCTAAGACAGGCAACAGCCTGATGTGCTCAGGCAGGAACGTGGTACACACAATTGCATTCATCACACACACACGGCACAAGGTCACATGAAGGCAGCTGGTACCCTCGTCGAGCCTGACACTCTCTGGGCACACTCAGGCTCAACATCTCACACACACAGACACGCCATGCACACCTGGAACACGGCCCAGGTACCTGCAGGGTGGAGCCAGGGGCCATGGGCAAGGCTGCCAGCTGGCTGGGAGATAAGGGGGGTCTGGGGAGCCTGGAGCCCCCATGTCTGCAGCCCGTGGCGGGCCTGCACCCTACATGTGAGGCCTGGGCCACAGCAGCATCTGCAGAGTGCCCGGCGCACACAGCAAAGGCAGATGGGGGCCACAAGTGGGGTGGGCTTCCAAGACACTGCACCCAGCCCTCTTTTGGAAAATACAGTTGTTTTTCATAAAATTATTTATGTAATCATATAATGGGTCTATTATTATTTTAATGAATTAATATAGAAACATTTTTAAAATTTCTTTCTCAGTTTTATTTTCTAATGTGCTTTCAATAGTTATAACCCATGTAAACAAAAGCTCTCTGGGGTCTTCAACAATTGCTAAGAGCGTAAAGGGGTCCTGAGACCCACGAGTTTGAGAATGGCTACCACGCAGAGAGCGAGAGGCAGGGTGGCCTCTGAGACAGCGCAACCAGGGAGGCGTGTGAGGCACTTACACCTGGGGTAAAGTTTAAGGGGGCGCCCAAAACTCAGGCCTCAAGACAAATAACATGTAATGCAACCTTCTAAATTACCAAAATTAATGCAAAATAAAACCCGGCGATGACTAGGAACCGGATATAGGTGGGGGAGGGAAGGGGCTCGCCTGGAAGGGCCCCAGGATGGAGTGGAGCCTGAGCCCATCTACCCCAGCAGACAAGAACCCTGGAGGGTGGCCCCTCGTCCTCTTCCACCTGGCGCCATGCCTGGGCCTGCGCCTGCCCAGAAGATGCTGGGACTCCCTGCTGGGTGGGTGGTGGGCAGAACTGGGGGAGCCCGGAGCCAGGTGTCCCCCACCCCCCACCGTGAAGGGCACAAGCCCAGAGCTGGGGACCTCGGCCTCCCCTCTCAGACCCTGTCACAGACCCTCTTTGTCAAGTTAACGACATCCTTTCAGCTCTTTGAGGAAACGGCCCATCCCCGCAGAGCTGTTTGTTTTTCCTGAATTCACAGACACAAGCAGCTCAGGAATGGGCCGTTTTATAGCCTCTGTGCTCGGAACTTGCCCTCGATGGCGGGTGATCCAGAATGCAGATCTGCACGTCCCCTGGGCCCACAAACTCCGGGAGACACAACCCGGCCGCCGCAGCCGCAGCCCAGGTGGCCCCCACCAGACTGCAGCACACACCGGCTGGCTCACGTGAACCCAAGGACACACCCGTGACAGGACCGTAGAGACGGGTGGGTGGGGGGCCCAAGATGTCTTCATCCTCTGGGGAGCCGGCGCTGGGGCGTGTCCTCCATCATTTGTGTTTCTCCTCTGTGCCTTCACTTACATTTTGAGGGAAAAGAGGCATGAGAGGACCTTCTAGTTCCCCCCTACACACACGTTCTGTCCTGAGAAGCTGGCACGGGCATCATTTTATTTTCTCTTTTTTAAAGCAGCCTCCTGGACACCAGCCTCCAAGGGAGATGGGAGGTCCAGCCCAGAAACCCTGACTCCACTGGGGAGGCGGTCAGCCTGCAGCCACCTCCACAGGCCCGGCCCATCTGGAGATGTCACGGTCGTCTGTCCAGAGGCAAGGAGCAAGAGGATAATGCCAATGCGGACACTTAGGGGGTCACATCACAGGCAGCACCTCCGTTTGGCAAATTTGAGGTGATGCTGAGTTAGGCACCATCTTACACAGCGGGAAACTGAGGCTGAGAGGAGCAGTCACTGTGCCTGAGGTCTCACCACTGGTAAGTGACCGAGCTGGCACCAAACAATGCCTGCACGACCCAGGCTCCATGCCGTGACGCTAGGAGGGCTGCAGAACAAACCTGAGGCTAGAGGCTGCTGCCTCGTCATGGGTCCAGGCCTCACCCAGCCTCGGGTTCCTGGGGTCCAGGGGGAGCCGCTCTGTGAGGAAGGTGCTGGAGGTGGGGGGTGGGGGGCAGACAGGGGCAGAGCAGGACCCTCAAGACCAGCAGGGCTAAGGAGTGTGATTGGACCACGGCAGCCATAAACACTTGAGTGTGAATTAGCTTGCTGCCCAGAGGACGCTGAAAGGACAGAGCCAGGGAAAGGGCAGCCTTGGGGAAGGAGAAGCGTGGACAGAAGGGGAGGCTGGGTGAGAGGCAGGACTGTCTCGCGGCGGTGAAGGGCAGGAGCAGCGGTCCTGGGCTCTTGTTCCCAGGGGACCCCCAGCCCCAGCCGGTTGCAGGCCTGCCCCGAGAGACCCCGGCCTGGCTGGTGGGAGGGGGCGGAGGGAGCAGCCCAGCCAGGCTTGCAAACTATGAGTAAAACAAAAGCAATCACATACCCCAAAATAAACCCACTTCCTTTCAGCAGGAAAAAGTAAATAAATGAACACAGATCCGTGCAGGCCCAGGGTTCTCGTCACATGAGTTTATCTTCTCACTCACGGTGATGTGGAGCTCAGGCCCGGCCGAGTCCGCGTCCTCGCCTCGTGTGGCTCCTGGGCCCCGAGCACCCGCCAGACGGGGATACGGACTACGAGGACGGGCGAGAAGGGGCCTGCGCCTGGGGGCCGCCATTGCAGCACCAACGGGTGGGGGACAGGACCTCTCTCTTTCCCTCCTCCTGAGCAGTCCCCAGGAGTCCCAGACAGAGGCTGACACGATGCTACAGACAGCCCGGGCACCAGCCAGGCCACGTCTACCCCACAGCATGGCCAGGCTCAAGGCCCCACGTGCAGAAAGCCCAGGTGACTCTGCCTTGAGGGCTCAGTTCAGATGTCACCTCCTCAGAAGGCCCTCTCTGACTCCCAGAGCAGACAGAGGGGGTCCTCCAGGGACCCCACAAATCACTGCGTGCAGACCCCACCATGACTCCAAGAGCACAAGACCAGGGCTGCCCGACCCCTGCTGTACCCCGGGGCCCAAGCAAGCAGGGTTGCAGCGACGTGCCTGACCTCAGATCTGCAAGCCGAGACATGTACCCTCGTGGCAAGAGCTGGCATCGCCAAGAGGCCCGCATCGGCCAAGCAAAGTCTTCATGGCAACAGGAACAGTCGCCACCAGGGATCATAGCCAGGGATCCAGGGATCAGGGCCTACTCAGTGAGCCCCACAGCGGCCCTCAG